CTGCATTTCCTTGATTTTTTCATTTTTGTTTTGTTTACATTTACATCGTTGTGCTTCATTTCTAGCCTGTGTCATCTTCATCTCCTTGTACATGGATTTTGAAGCATGAGCAACACCTAAAATTTTATTCGCATCAGGAAATTGCGTTTTGCTTGTATTAAACTAACGAGTATGTTTTATTTTCATGTTTCGTGGAAATACGCGGCCTCCGAGGGATGTTGCAGAAGTGGCACAGTTGCTTTTAAGTTCTGACCCTCGTCATCATCTTCTGTTCTTATTTTGCAGCACCTCCAATGTTATCCGCATCAGGAAATTGCGTTTTACTTGTATTTGAAAGCGCAATTAAAGGACTTGGCAAAGTGCCAAGGAGCCGCACGCGACACGCGCGCTTACGACGGATGTTATGAAGGACGGGAATCTGCGCCGCAAAAAGGCATTGGGCGGAGCATGGACGAACTAGCGTGTTTCACGGTCCTGTATCTCCATTCCTGCGCATGTTTGAACGGGGAAACCGCTATGCTTCGACAGCTGGGGGGCTGCTAGTCACATACACCCTCAATGTGTGTGAGCGTACTATGTGTCTTTAAAGATATAGAGGGAGCTCATGTTCCGGTGACAGACAAATATGTAGCCAAGCGTGATGAACGACATTTTTTTGGAATACAGTAGAGATATATCTTCCTCACCTGCGGCGAAGAAGACAACGACCTCATAATATAAATTACAAGTCTGTACATATAGATTGTAAACCCAATCTTCCCTACCTCAGAGGCTGCCAGTAGGCAGATGAGCAGGTGCCGCACCTCGACCTCTGCCTACTAGGAATTTTCGGTCCAAGTAATATTTGGTCTAGTCAAAGAGCTTTACTAAATTTGAATCGTACACCACCTGTAATATTTTGGAGGATCCTTTGATTTCAAACTACTTCCCGATACACTAAAATCTGCAATGCTTAAGTGAATGGAACGGTGATATCAGGTGGTGGTGGCTGCCCGCATGAATATGTTTGGTGCGAGTTCACAACAAGGTAGTACAATTTCCCATCATTCGCCGTATTTTTATTTATTACCTTCATATTTGAGACTAAGTTTTCAGAGTTCCGAAAGCTTTGTATCTTTTCAATGCCGCGATCCTTCTCGGCCTTTGCTTTCCATTGATCTCGGCACCTTGTAACACTTTGTTGTCGGAAATACTAGGACCACGAAAACAGGTGAATCACTTGCTTTTTTCATAAGGCATCATAGTTGCTACATGCATATAATGGATAGATGAGAGAGAAAGAGAGTGAAAAAATTTCTCATGATAGGCAACTGAGAATGTAATTTCGATAACAAATCACTTTTCGCAAATACACAAGTTATTCAGTTCTTTTCATGTAAAGAGCGCACAGACCGTGTCACTTGGCCTCTAAAAAGTGAGAAGTAGGCATGCTGGGCGCCCGGGATGTTAGCAACGCTCCGCCCACACCAGGATTGAGTCTTTCTTGAAGGAAGGGCTGTGATGCTGCTTCCCCGCTATAAGGTCTTTCTACTCTGAATGAAAAAGCGTAATGACAAGGGCAGGGAGCTTGACGTTATGGAAACAGTAAGGATATCCGAAAACTTATATCCGAAAAACATCAGAAATCAGAAAGTCATTCTGTCCAGTCTTTTACGTTCCCACATGTGCCTGAGTTTCCTTATGTCTTTTGCAGCAGGCATAGAGCAAGCAGCAGCAACAATGCTGCTCAAGTATATTAAGAATCAGTCGCCGTATTATGTGTTTTGTTTGATTTTTAAGTAGTTCAATTTTTCGTAATGGTCGAGTGGTATCCTTCAATCACATGTTTGTGCGAATGTTATGTTTGTTTTGTTTGTAATGTATATAATGTGTAATGTGAGTAATGTGAATGTATGCATATTCAAAATCAGATGAGGTTAGAACATTTATAACTTCAGGGAACAATTCAAGGATTTTTCGCCTTCTCCGGCAGCATGGCACAGTTTTTCGTACCGCTTTTGGCTACGTGTGTTCTGTTACAGTTATGCTTCAATGCATCTCTTTACAGCTCTCAATACTATGTTTCAGAAAACTTTTTGAAGTGAGTGGGTACAAATATATTGTGTCGTATCATCTGTTGATGGTTGTCACTGCCGCTGTGGCCGCGTACATTCTCCGAAGGCGGCTGATTCCCTTGCAGATGACTCCTACTGCAGGCAGAGCGACTAAGTTCAAGCGAGGAATTTTCTATAGAATGTGACGTCGCTCAACCAACCCATCTGCACAAATTTGGGAAACACAAACTAACAAGTCATTTTCATGTTGGACTTCATAGCACTTATGAATGTGAAGCTTCTGTTGTCTTTTATAGCTACCTTATTCGCGATCGAATAAGATTATCCTCGTGTACAATATTCAAGGTTTCATTGCTTAGAGAGAAGTTCTGAATAAATGGAAGTATCAGATGCTCCGTGCACATGTTCTTCAGCGAATCAACAGGCTGAACTATGCCATTTTGATGAGATTGTTCCAAAGAAGGACTATGCTTAATCAACTGGAACAACTGTCGGAACACGCTACATGTCGGGGGGTATTGCTGCCAACTTCAACCTGTCCAAAATTTGCGCTTTCGAGGAAGCTCCTTAATATGTCAGTGAGCACGCATAATTGAAATAACCATACTTGTTTGACATTGTTAGATTGTGAACCGAAAGTTGACGTATCAGAAATCGAAATCTCAACACGCAGGACAGCACAGCCTGGCCTGGGTTGAGATCTGCCTTTGTAACGCCCCACAAACGCTTTAGAACAGAGACATCGGGATGTCAGATGATGATTTCATGATTTAGCCTTAACCATCATGATTTAGCCGACCACTCCTGCCTGAACTTCTACGCTAATTGGGATGATGCCGTTTGGACTCCAGAAATTTTGGCACCGAGCTCATTTTTAAATGGCCTAAGTCACCAAATCCGCTAAAAACTTGTATATAGGGGTAGTTTAACATCCTGATTACGAATATGACATTCACTCTTGTCGCTGGCGCTAATGGATGACACTACGATTATCTGCGCTCTGCTAAGGCTGAGCCCAGGAGGTAATCGTAGTGTCATCCATTAGCGCCAGCGACAAGAGTGAATGTCATATTCGTAATCAGGATGTTAAACTACCCCTATATACAAGTTTTTAGCGGATTTGGTGACTTAGGCAATTTAAAAATGAGCTCGGTGCCGAAATTTCTGGAGTCCAAACGGCATTAGCCTGTTAGATGTTGTTCGGAGAACAGTGGAGGTGAAACAATCCTTCTTCTAGCCTGTTCGAAGCAGAATAAAAACTATAAAATTCTGTTTTTTTTTGTGAGGAGCAACAGAGCAGTCTATAGCTGAGACGCAAAATTATGGCAGTGGCCCGTGACAGAAGTTCCCGCATAGTCTGGGTAGACAGGCTATTCTTCGCACAGTAAGATGTCCAGATGCGTCAAGAAACGGTCGTCAAGACGGAGGAGGGAGCAAATGTGTGGCGATTAATGTAGATATGGGCATTCCATTTCCTAGGTCCTTACGGT